CCCTGCTCTGTGCACACTAGGCCAGGCTTGGGATGGAGCCGGGTGGTGGCAGTGAAGCCTACCTGCTGCTAGATCATGTGGTGGTGGCCCCTCCACAGGGTGTGTGGACCCTACGGAGCTTCTATCTCCCTTGCTGGACGTCTCTGTGCTCCGTACACATTGGGCCGGGCTGCTGGTTCGCATGGCAGCAGTGTGGTCCCCGTGGAGTTCCCGCCTCCCCTGCTGGCCATCTCCCTTCTCTGAGTGCACTAGGCCGGGCTGAGGATGGAGCCGGGTGTCTGCGGTGAAGCCAACCTGCTGTATTTGCAGTGGCGGCCCCAAAGGTGTGTGTTTTCTGCCAAGTCTCTGCCTCCCTAGCCGGATGTCTCCCCACTCTGTGCTCACTGGGCTGGGCTGGGAATGGAGCCAGGTGGCAGTGGTGGAGCCTACCTGCTGGATCTCGCAGTGGTTGCCCCGCTGGGTCTGTGTTTTCTGCTGAGTCTCCACCTCCCTAGCCAGGTGTCTCCCTGCTCTGTGTGCACTGGGCTGGGCTGGGAATGGAGCCAGGTTGTGTCAGTGGAGCCTACCTGCTGGATCTCACAGTGGCGGCCCCGCACAGCATGTCAAGAGGGGTATTCTGAATTCTCTGTCAGATGTTTCATAGATCTACTATGCCTCTGGGTCCATTGCTGGCATTTTGTTTTTTCCCTTTGTTGGTGACACATTTCTCTGCTCTTTCTCTGTCTTTGTGTTTTTACATTGATGCCTGGGCTTTTGAGGAGACTGCTACCTCTGCTAGGTTTTATAGGTGTTCTTTGGTTGTGTTAGAATTTCACTGATTAATATCAGAGGTTTGACCCTGGTCTAAGGTTTCTTATCCGTTCTTTGGAGGATTAATAACTGCCACCACCGCTTAGACTCTGCAGTGAAACTAATGTGCTCTCCTGTGGTTAATTCATGAATTGGGGCAAAACTATTGTTTTGCTGTTGATTGTCCAGGGAAGGCTTTGCATGCAGATAGAATATTAATTGTTGGCAGGAATCACTTCTGGGTCTGTGTTGTGTGGAAGTCCCAGCCCTGAACTGAGTCCTTCCTGTAGATTTCACCCCCTGTAGTTCTAACCCCTGACTGATTTCCACTGAGACCAGGTGCCCATGCTGCACTGATGTTCTTCCAGTAGGCCAGCCTGTGTTCTGCACTCCAAACTCTTCCCATGGGGTAGGATGTCTGCGTGTCTCTCATGCTCACCTACCAGCCTTGGGTGGCTACTTTCTCCAGTTGGCTGGCTCAGGGGGATCTTGCCTGGGGTCTTTATGGCCTGTGGGCTGGCATGGTGTGCTCTGAAACCCTCTTCTCCCCTGAAGACTCCAAGCAGATTGACATGAAGAGTGCCAGTGTGGCCTTTTCTGGCTTCAATTTGTGTGAGGCAGACACTCCCTGCACATTACCAGGCTGGCTCAGAAGTGGCCAGGGCCCAGAACAGTTGGCATTGTCTTCACATCCTCACACCCTGGCCTCTTGTTCCTTTTTACAAACTCTGTGGACTTCTCCTCTTCCCCCAGCTCCAGCAGTCCCAGGTTGTCAGTCTTTGCTTTTCCATCATTCTAAATTGGTTACTTGTGGGGAGGACCAATGCTGGGAATTGTCTGTTCTGCCATTGGATGACATCAGTCTTCTTTATCTTATCAAAATACCAACTCTTAGTTTTGATTTTTCAAATTGATTTTGTGTTTTCTACTTCATTTCTTTCTGTTTTAGTCTTTGTTATTTCCTTCCTCCTGCTAACTTTGGGATTAGCTTTTCTTCTCTTTCTGGTTCTAGTTTCTAGTTGAGGTGAAAAATTATGTTGTTAAAATATTTTTAAGTGTTCATGTTTATCACTATACACTTCCTTCTAAGTGCTGCTTTTGCTGCACCCTGTAAGTTTAGGTAGGTTGACCTTCATTTTCATTGGTTTCAAGATACTGTCTAGTTTCCCATTTTTTTCCTTTGACTCATGGTTGTTAAAAAGTGTGTTGTTAAATTTCCATAATTTTTTTTTGATTTTTCAATTTTCTTTCACATGTGATCTATCCTGGAGAATGGCCCATGTCTGCTTGAAAAGAATGCATATCCTGCTGCTGTTGGGTGGAAAGTTTTGTACATGTCTCTTAGGTGCATTTATTCTATAGTGTTGTTCAAGCTGCTTTATGTTGTTGATTTTCTGTCTGGTTGTTCTATTCATTATTAAAGTGGGATATTGAAATCTCCTACTTTTATTGTTTTCCTATTTCTCCCTTCAGTTTTGTCAATGTTTGCTTTATATATTAGAGTGCTCAGAGTTATGTACATATATATTTCTAATTGTTATAATTTCCTGGTGGATTGACCCTTTTATCATTGTATAATTTTTTTTCATGATGGTTTTGGATTGACTCTTTTATCATTGTATAATTTTCTTTTTGTGATCGTTTCAACAGTGAGTCTGTTTTATCCGATATAAATATAGCCACCCCTGCTCTCTTTGGTTTCCATTTGCATGGAGTATCTTTTTTCATCCCTTCACTTTAAGCTTATCTGTATCCTTAAATATAATCTGAGTTTCTCCTAGACAGTACATCATTGGGTTGGGTTTTTTAGTTTTCTTTTTTCTTTTCCTTTCTTTTTCTTTCTTTCTTTCTTTCTTTCTTTCTTTCTTTCTTTCTTTCTTTCTTTCTTTCTTTCTTTCTTTCTTTCTTTCTTTCTTTCTTTCTTTCTTTCTTTCTTTCTTTCTTTCTGTCTCTCTCTCTCTTTATTCAGCCACTGTTATGTCATTTGACTGGGGAGTTTAATGCACTTATGTTTAAAGTAATTATTGGTAGGAAAGGACTTACTATTGCCAATTTGCTAATTTTTCCATCAGTTGAGTTCTTTTGTCTGTTTCTTCCTTTCTTGCTGTCTTCATTCTGTATTTGTTTTTTAAATTTTACTTAAATTGGCATATAAAATTGTATGTATTATGTATAACATGAAGTTTGAAATATATACATTGTGAGACAGCTAATTAGAATATGTATTATCTCATACAGTTATCATTTATGTAGTGAGAAGAACTAAAATCTACTCAGCATTTTTCTAGAATACAGTATGTTGTTATTAACTACTGTCATCATGTTATACAATTGATCTCTTGAACTTATTCATCCTATGTAACTAAAATTTGTCTCTTTTGACCAACATATTCTTAACACCTCACTTCCTATTAGTATAGCCATTAAGGAGAACAGTATGGGGGTTCCTCAAACAACTACAGATAGCACTACCATATGATCCAGCAATCCTACTACTTGGGATATATCCAGAAAATTGGGAATCATCATGTTGAAGGGATACCTATACTCCCATGTTTATTGCAGCTCTGTTTATAATAGCCAGGTGAAAGAATCTGAATGTCCATCAGTGGATGACTGGATAAGGAAATCGTTGTAAACATCACAATGGAATAATACTCAGCCATAAAAGTGAATGAAATTCTGCCACTTGCAACAACATGGATGGGCCTGGAGAAAATTAGCCTAAGTGAAAAAGCCCAGGTACAGAAAGATAAATACTGCATGTTCTCACTCGTAACCAGGAGCTGAATCCATCAATAAGCAAATAAACAGTAAAGAGAGGCAGAGAAAGAGAAAGAGAGAAATAACAACCACAGTAATATGTTCAACTTTTAGAAAGAGGGAAAAGAATCATGGTTACTAGAGGTGGATAAAGGGAGGGGAGAGAGAGAGTGGAGTGGTTTAACAAGAAATTGGTTAATGGACACAAAGGATGATTACATATTGAAATGATGAATAAGCTAATTATCCTGATCTAACCATCACACATTGTACACAACTACTGAAAATCAACTTTGTACTCCACATGTATGTATAATAAATTATCTTAAAAATTTTTTTAAAGTAACTAGAGAAGTCCCCTTCCCCCCAAAATAAATAAAGGCAGTATACTGAGGACTCAGATCTCCTAGGAATGAAAGTTTGAGTCACCGCACCAAGTGAGGACCAAGTGCCAGCTGTCTGATAGCTCCCCTCAGAGATCTGAACATCAGATATGTGGTCCTCTCTCCTCTGTGTTCCTCGGTTCTGGTTAACACCACATTTCACCTTTGTTCCCCTAGTCCTAGGGGATGTATCTTCTTCCTGCAGTTAATATCTCTGGGTGACCTCAGCATTCATCTTTTCACTCCTTTAGTTTCTTTCAGTATACACCTATGCAGCTAATTCCCTGTATTAAATCTTGGTTTTAAAATACTGGGTGCAATTTCTTTTTTTCATTATTTTTGGTGGCTGTCTAGTGTGGGGATCCAAACGCTTGACCATGGTGTTACAAGGGTGCTCTGTAACCACCTGGGTACAATTTCTTTTTCCCGAATGGATCTTAACTGACCCTAACTGACATACCAGCTCAATAATGCATGGAAAATAATGTTCAGTTTATTATGTCTAATCATTATCATATTATATTTCAGAGACTAATATTTTTATACATTTATTCTGCTCTCCACCAACATTTATTTGATACATTTTCCATGACCAAGATAGTGATGGTAGGTAATGTGTTAACACAGCTTTTATTATCGGAGACTTACAAGTGTATTAGGGGTGACTAACCATGATAGTCCAATGAAAATTTACATTTAATAGTGATTTATAGCTTTCAAAGCATAAGTTATTTGTGACCCACACACCCTGTGACAGAGAGGCAGATATGATTTTTCCTAATATGAGAATGCTGAGGCTCAGACTTGCTCAACATTGCTAGACGGTGGAACAGCTGGGACACAAACTTAATATTCTTGTGCTGGCACTGTGTGAAAAGAGCAGAAAGATGTAAAAAGTAATAATTTTAATAAGATGTCTCATTTAACTGTTACCAGATTTGTGGAAGGGGAATTTCTGGCTGGAAAGACCAACAGTAACTTCTTGGAGGGTGATAACATTGAAGCTGGATTTCCAAGTGCATTCTAATTGGAAACATCAGTATCCAATGTATGCCCTCACACTGGTCACGAGGGGATTTTCTTGCTGAAGAGTTTCCACAGGGCAGCCTTCATGTCTCGGTTTCTCAGACTATAAATGAAAGGATTTAACATTGGCGTCATTGCAATGTACATCACAGTAATCACTGCATCTTTTAGGCTGTACCTAGTCAGAGGGCGTAAATATGTGCCCATGACTGTCCCATAATACAAAGAAACAACTGTGAGGTGGGAACCACAGGTGGAGAAGGCTTTGAGCACACCTTTAGTGGATGGAACCTGTAGGACCGTGGAAAAGACCTGAACATAGGAGATAATGATACATAGTAATGGCACAGAGAAGACACCAACCCCTAGGTACATCATCTTCACATTAAAGTGAATATCAGAACAGGACAGCTTGAGCAAAGAGGCAATGTCACAGTAGAAGTTGGTCACTTCCTTGCTGCCACAAAAGGACAGGCCAGCTGTGAGGAGAGTGTGGGGGAGGGAATTGGTGATTCCAGCCACCCAAGACCCAACAATTAGCAGAACACAAGATTTTGGACTCACAATTGTTGTGTAGTGAAGTGGGCGGCTGATGGCCACAGCTCGATCATATGCCATTACAGCCAAAATATAGCTGTCTGTGTTACCCAAGGCAAGCATGAAACACATCTGTGTTAGGCATCCCCCAAAGGAGATGGATTTGCTGCCTAAGAGATGGCTAGCCAGCATCTTAGGGATGGTTACAGATGAGAAGAAGATGTCCACCAAGGAGAGGTTGGCAAGGAAAAAATACATGGGGTTGTGAAGGCGAACGTCAGAGTGAATGGCCAAGATGATGAGCAGGTTTCCAGTCAATGTGATGGGGTAAATGAACAGGAAGAGGATGAAGAAATATTCTTGTTCCTGCTGACCATTAACTCCCAGGAGGATGAATTCCAGGGGCGATGACTGATTTACTTCTCTCATGGATTCTTTAGCAGAAAAGGGAGAGGAATCCAGAATTATTAGTGAATTACTGTGTGTAATGATATTCCTTATCCACTACTTTGGACTCTACGATTCAGTTACATCTATACCTGGGTTTACTAGATCCATAGATAGGCATTACTCGGAGAAACCACCTGTTGGTGTGTGAAACTAGTTGAAAGCCCTGTATACTAAGGTCTGAGTGGGCAATCCATTAGTCAGAGGTGCCCATCCTCTCCAAACTCAGCTCTACCACCCAAAAACCTAGGATTTAATTATTTCACATTTAATTTTATAATCTATGTGCTATTCACTTTGGTAGGTCTCATGGAAAAATCATAAATATTTGACAATATAGTTTATTCATCTATTTATTCAATGAAAAGACATTGTCTCTGCTCTCGAGGACCTTTCAACTTAATAGAGATGCCAGAATCACACACTAATCTTATTACACATGATAAGGAAAGGACAGTATTTTGAAGTTTCTGAAATAACACACCAGTAGAAAGAACGTGTAGTGCAAGAGCACTCTGGAAAATTAGATGCATTCTAGTGACCAAACTCAGAGGGATCCCAGAAGCCAGGAGGTAACAGGTATTTACACTGCCATTAGAAGATTATAAATAACAAAGAGCACTGGGGTTAGATCCTAGCAAATCAAACGCAGTAAATTTCCTACCCAGGATTCCCATCCTCAAAGTAGGATTAAAATATCTCCTTTAATAGGTCTTATCTGTTTCCAAACACTTAAATATATGTAATCTAATGTTTCCCTCTTCCATCTTCTCTTCATTTTCTTCACCGCTTTTTTTCGTGACTCCTCCTACTCCCTAGTGGCTTCAATCACTGCTTAATAGACTCTCAAATTTATATCTGAAGGCTCAATTTCTCTTCCTCATATTTCCACATTCAGTCATCCTGTCAACATGTCTGACCAGACCCCATACACTGCAAATCCAACCTAAGAAGATAGCAAAAATTTTTTGGGGGGTGGGGAAGTAAAATTATATCTTGTGTATTTTTATATGTGCCAGAGAGATTATTGTGTAGTATCAGTCATTCTTTGCACCAATAAGTTTTCATTCAATATTTCTGGAGTCAAATCTAGGTATATTTCTTTTGTTCCTCACATACTGGATGCTTACAAGCACAATCACTAAGTTTACCCCTCACAAGTATACCTGATCCTGTTGATTTTTCATTTAAAATACTTGTTTTATAACTCAACCTTTCTACTTAATGTCTCAATGCTTTAGTATAGACCATCATTATTTTCTACGTGAAATATTAAGTGCTTCATTACAGGCCCCCTCTTCTCTGATCTATCTTATACTCTGAGGTGTCCTAATTATGCCAGAGACTACTAGTTCCACTGCGATCCACATTATTCTTTTTTGACTGGTCGTTCAGCTAGGCTACATTAGTCAGCCTCCCTCGTGCTATAGTTGGCTCATGTGACTGAATTCTAATCAATCCATATGCATGTTGCAGTTCTGGGCTTCTTCTGCATTATTGTCCTCTTTTTCCAAAGTGGATGCAAATGGCATCCAGGAGAGTGAACGGAATAGTGGAGTCACATGATGGAATGAGCCTGTGTCCCTAGTTCTGTACATCCAGGACAGCCACTTACCACCAAGAAGATACACTGGTACTGTTCCATAGGAGACAATCAACATCTTACTGTGTTTAAGCAATTACACATTTTGAGTTCCATTTGTTATTATGCTCCAAGTTATCCTAAGTAATTCACTAACTTTTTAAATCAATTTCTAGTCAAGAATTAATTAAATTTATAATTAATTCAATCATAATACTTAGTGTCTCCTATGTTATACATCGGAATTATATACTAGGCATGGAGGATGCAGACGTAATTGTCTTACTTAGAATGTCTTACAAATATGATGTGCTTTTTTTCTTTTTATCTTTGCTTCTAAAGGAATACGATTTTCTCTCTTGAAATGGCTTTTCCCATCTTCACTCAGAATCATTATAATTCATAATTGAGAGCATTCACTAAAGCTGGAGTGCTCAGAGACTGTGGTTAGTTCACTAAAGCTGGAGGGCTCTGAGACTACGGTATGGAAGTGGAAGATTTGAAGGAGGGCTCTCGGTAGCATGATAGACTAAGCTGATGTTGACATGTGCCATTCCTGTTGAAACATATAGCAATTCTCGATACATTGTAAACATAAAATAAACAATGCACATAGCCAACCCTAAAAGAAGGAAATGGGACTACCTATGCATGACAAATAAAATCAAAACCTGAAGAATTATAAGTTATAGCTAAAGCTATGGTGACTTCTTGGTGTTTCCAACCAGGAATAAGGAGCTAATGCCTGGAGTTTGGGGTATAGTAATGACTTTTGTATAGGAGATGTGGCCATAGATCCACATGAAGCAGGGAGCTTAATTTCAGCCCTTGTATAAACACTTGAAGTGTTATCATATTTGAAAAGAGTAGTAGAAAAAATTTTGCTATGTAGAAATTGGAGAGGAAAGAACAAAATTCAAATAAAATGTGGTTATGTATGAAGAAAATTGTAGGGCATCTCTAGAAAATCCAAGATACTTCAGCAAGTGTGTTAGATATAAATCAATATTAAAATATCAATATTGTCCTTCTACTTAGTAACAAAAAAGTAAAAATTATAATTAAAAAAGACTCACCATTCTCAATAGCAACACCAATTTTAAGAAATCTTGAAATAATTCTCTCAAAAGAGATCTAAGACTAGATTAAAAAACTACAGAATTTTACTGAATGATGAACATAGTACCTACAAAAATGAGGGGATAAGTAATGTTAATGGAGATTCAATGCGGTGAAAATGTCAATTCTCTTCTAATTAACCTATGAATTCATTGCAGTCCCTATCAAAATGCCACAGGTTTCTTTTAAAAATGGAGCTTCTTAAATTGATCTAAAAATTCATGTAGGAGTATACAAGCCAGGAAGAGCAAAGAGAAATTAGGAAAAAAGAATAAATGGAATTGTTTTATTATGTATGAAAATGACTTACTCCAGTAATTTAAATAATGGAGAAGTACTGGTGTAGGGACTGACAATATTGATCTATGTAACTTACAAGAGAGGCTAGAAAGAGATTAAGCATGAATAATCAGTATACCACATGGGTTGGCTTAGAAATAGGCAGGGAAACTGCTCAGGTGCTAGAAGTGAGACACGCCTGTCTGTACCCCTATATACAGGCCTGCTAATCTTGATCCCATTGTAGATCTTGAAACAGTTCCTGTAAATATGCTCCAGCCTTTCTCAATCATGGTCTGAGAATGGTCCTGCCCACCCAGAGATCCACTGCAAACATGCTTGTCTGCAGGCAGGCCAGCTTTGGTCTCACAGCAGATTTTGAAATGATCCTATAATTTGGCTTTAGCCCCTTTGTACTGTGGTCTGAGAGCATTCTTGCCAGCCCAGGAACCAGAAGAAGACAGGCCCATATGTTCCTCCAGAGACAGGTCTGTAGATTTTGTTCTGGACATTGGACCCTGAAACAGCCCTGAAACTCCATTATAGCCCCCCTCAGCTGTGGCCCACACCCAATATTGCTTGCCCGCAGGCCTACCTGGTTCCCTCCAAGAGACCAAGATGAATCCACATTTATCCACACCACTAGAAACATGCCCACACTTTGCAGACTTTTACTGTAGCATCAGTCCAACTGACCATGTTCCTAGAGGCAGTCTATTCCACCCAAGACCCAGACAGGATCTACGCTGCTAGAGCCCCTAGTAAGAATCACACCAACCATGAGCCTGACTTCAGAGCCAGTAGCAGGCACATGACCTGGATCCAAATCCACTCATCTTCAGTCCTGGAGGCAATATATCAGCCCAGAGACCTAACAGGAGATGGTCTTTACCTGATGTAACCAGTTTTTGATGACTGTTAAGACGTGTTTGCTTCTTCAAAAGTACAGACACAAATGCAAGGCTACACAGATAATGAAGAATCAGGCAAACATGATACCACCAAAGAAAACTAATAAAGCTCCATGAAATGCCCCCCCCCCAAGCATGGAGATCTATAAATTGCCTGAAAAAGAATTTGATCTACTAGACTTAAAGAATCTCAGTGAGATACAAGAAAACACAGATAACCAAATAAAGTTAGGAAATCATAGCATGAACAGAATGAGAAATTTAATAAAGGATAGAATCCATAAAATAGAACCAAACAGAAATCCAGGAGGTGAAGAATAAAATAAAAGAACTGAAAATTTTAAAATAGAGCTTCAACAGTGGACTTGGTCATGCAATAGAAAGAATTAGTGAGTTTGAAGACAGGCCATTAAAAATTAGCCAATTAGAGGCAGGAAAAATAAACAAACAAAAGAATAAAAAAGAGTGGAGAAAGCATAAAGTACCTGTGGGAATCATCAAGCATAGAGATGTAGAAATTATTGGAGTATCAGTAGGAGAAGAAAGAGAGAATGGAGCAGAAAACTTATTCAAATCAATAATGCCTGAAAACTTCCAAATCTAGGGAGGGATATTACCATTCATTTATGAAGCTCAAAGGAACCCAAGAAAAATCATCCAAAAGAATACTTCAAAACACGTTATAATCAGATTGTCAAAAGTCAAAGACAAAGAGAGAATCTTGAAAGCAGCAAGGTAAAGGAGACTGGTCACGTATAAGGGAAGCCTCATTAGGCTATCAGCAGACTTTTCAGTAGAAACTTTGCAAGCCAGGGGGGAGTGGAATGATATATTGAAGGACTGAAAGGAAAAAGAAACCTGCAGACCAAGAATACTAAACTCAGGAAAGCTGTCTTTCAGAAGACAGTCTCAGACAAACAAAAGCTGAGGGAATTCATCTCCATGAGACTGGGCTTATAAGACATGGTAGAAGGAATTCTTTGAGTTGAAGCAAAAAGATGCTAAGTAAAAACATGAAAACAAATGACAGTATAAAACTCATTGATACAAGTAAATATGTAACCAAATTTAGAGTTCTCTAATACTGTAAT